TCATCCTATTATACTTCGTCCAAGCAATCTTGTTATGATCAGAACTGGCTCACAGCTGACCCTGTAATGGGTTTTCAAGAGGCAGTAATTTGCACAAGGGGAGACCGCCTCTTTTTCTCCCAGGAAGCAGTTGGTGGATTTGAACAACTTGCTGTTGACTCTGTACCCACAAGGCAACTGGAGCTCCCTGTATTTGTAACTGTCCACAGTGATCTGTCGAGATGTGTGACAGTCTGTTTCTCTACTCAATCAACATGTTTTTAGGTTCATGCGCTGAGTTTGGCACTGTGATAGTTATTAGAATACAAAGAGAAATAAGACACTGTAGAAAAAAAAATAAAAGCAGTATGCTTTCAAGAGCTTGAAGCTATGAGGGAATAAACACAAAAACAGACAGTTATGATACATTCTGTGAAGTGTAGCAGGAAAGCCATGAGTAGGTGTTCTGGGAGAATGGAAGACACACACAGTGATAAAATCTTCCTTCTCTCTCCAAACAAGGATACAAACAGCAGTGTGGTGAGTAGGAAGGCCAAGGTTGAGGTGGGGCTCTGCTTACTGGATGCCCAACCATCTGCTTGTTTAACCTTCTATATTCCATTTCTTCTGCTAGAAGCTACGGATGATATACATACATATGTGTATGTATGTGTTTGCATGATATATACAAACATTGTTGTTGATTGCTGTGGAGTCAAGCACAACTCATAGCGCCCCATGAACAAAAGGGCTGAAACCTTTCTATAACTATTATCATTTATCAAAGTTCACAGTTTCTAGAGGCATGCTGTTTAGGAAGTGGGTGCCACTCCTGCTTATAAAAAATTGTTGTTGTTATGTGCCATCGAGTTGCTTGAGACTCATAGCAACACTATATACAATAGCCCTGAAACCTGTTCTATCCCATGCCAACCTTATTGTCTCTGACACACTTAACCTCATTACCCCAGTCACTGAATCCATCTCATCGAGAGTTTTCTTCTATTGCGTAGTCCCTCCACCCTTCCAGGCATGATGTCCCTCTCTAAGGACTCGTCGGTCCCTCCTTGCAACATGTCCAAAGCATGTCAGGTGAGACCTCAGAATCCCTGCCTCCAAGGAGCAGCCTGGTTTCACCATCTCCAGGATGAACCTGTTTGTTCTCCTTGAAGAGTATATTCACTACTCTTCTCCAGCACCACAGCTTAAAGGCATCAATTCTCTTTCAAAAATTGTAGGAAAGAAAAAAAAAATTGTAGGAAAGAACAAAATATGTAGAATGTATGAAAACTATTTGTAAATGGAATAAATGCACACATACACTTGTATGCTGGTACTACTAAACCATTCCCTCCTGCTGACTTTTCTCTTCTCACCAAGGACTTTGTCATCCTTCAGTTCACTCAGGATCAGAATCTCAAAGTTGTCATTGCATGTCTTCTCCCTCAGCTTCACTCGTGTCGCTGAGCCCTGTCCCGCTACCTTGCACCATCCTCTGCACCCTCCTCTTCTGTCCCATCTGATCATGGTCTCATGCCGTCCTCGTCACAGGACTCACACTAGGACCATCAAATGCGACAGAGCCTTCAGCTGTTCGGAGCTCTCAGCTCCACTCTCTAAAATTCAGATGTTCCCGAAAGATTATGTTCTTTATGTCATTTCCCTCCACCAATAAACTCAATTTTCTCCTCTGCAGACTGAAGTCCAATCCTTGCAGCTTGACATTTAAGGCTTGTGGCGATTTGCCTCTATCTTATTTACACACACTCATCTGGTCTTAGCACAAACCGGCAGCATTAACAGAACTGGTTTTCTCACTGCTCCCTGTACAAACATGCATAAGCCCAAGTGTACACAACTCACCTCCCTCTCTCACTCACTGCAGCCCCTCCTAATCTAATGGGGACAGGTGGGAAGGAGTGAACATACAAGCCAAGGCAATGCCAGTGCAGTGGGATAGTGGGTGCACATCCCCACTGAGAATGACGTCTCCTGGCCTCTCCATCCCTCATGACCACCCTCAGGCCGAATGTCCTGCATGAGGCCTTCCCCTATTTTCCCAGTCTTCTGAGGACTTAGAGCCCTCAGTCCTACCACAGATCAGAGGCGTCAAACTTGAACTACAGAGCAGCACTCTCAAGCTTGATCCAGGCAGATGGCTGCCCCCTTACCTGCAGCATTCTGGTTCGGGAGGCTCGGGATGGGGGAGAATTTACAATTCTGAGATGCCCTGACCAGGTTCTTGCAGAGCTTACTCTGAGCACCACTGCCATGGATTGGCCTGCATAAGATTAGGACTTCTATCTCCTGCTAGTGCTTATATTATTTGCACTTTCAGGCTGTCTCTGGTCTAAGTTTTTGAACAACAGAACTGTGTCTTCTATGTCCTTCAGAACCAGCTTCTATCCCTTGGCACAAAGAAAAACAACAGAGGCTACAGCAACAACTTTCATTCCTTGTGACCCTATGAGGGTCACAGTAGAAATGAGCTCTGAAGGGCTTTTGAAGGCTGAATTTTCAGAGATAGCCAGGCCTTTCTTCTGAGGTACCTCTGCTTGACTTGAACCATCAACCTTGCAGTTATCATTGGAGTGTATTAATCATTTACATCCCTCAGAGACTCCAGCCCATAGACAGAGTTCCCGAACTTCACTCTTCCTTGATCACAGCATTCTGCTATTATATTCTCAGCTGATTATACAGCAGCCCCATCAGGCAGGGAGAGAATCAAAGTTCTCACTGAGCAGAGATTCTAGATAGTGCTGCCTACTTAGGATCCCTGCTCACTGTGGCCTCTCTGGTGCCTGCTACTGGTTGGTGGTGAACTTTGGCTCCACTTTTCTCTCCTAGGAAGGAGGAAGAAAGTGATGGCATGCACTGAGCAGTTACTCTGCTGAGTCCTGGGCTGGGCAATGTCCACACGATCTCAGGGGACCAAGGGCATACAGCAATCTGTCCCCCTATTCCATATGGAAAACACAGAGGCCTAGAACAGTCTGTTTTTGTGCCTCATTGCACAGCACGGGAGAGGCAGAGGTGAGCAGACACATCAAGGAGAAGTGACTTTGTATTTATTAAAAGTCCATTTATGTGTCAGGCATGTTGTTTCTCATGTTTTCGCCTACATCCTCCTCATCACAGAACTGACTGACTCAGTGGCCCTAAAAGACAGAGAACTGCCCCATTAGGTTCCCAAGGCCTAATAGGCGGCCCCATCTTTCTACTGCAGAGCGGAAGGTGGGTTGGAATCACCAACTTTTTTTGTTAGCATCCAAGTGCTTAAGAACTGTACCACTAGGGTGGATAGGAAGAAGATATCCTCATGGCAACCTTGCCAAGGACATCTCATTTCACCCATTTTAAAGATAAGGAAACAGCCTCAGACAGGTTATATAATTTCTCAAGGCCATACAGCTACCAGAAGGAAAAGCCGTGGGTGGCAGAAATTAATCTCCTGGTCTGTCTGACCTTAAAGCCCTTGTTGGTTCCGCAGCCCAATGCTCCATCCAGGCCACAGAGCTTGTAGACCATTTGCACAACACATCAGTAATAGCAGAAATAGGAGTCTCTCAGAGCACTTCATTCTTCTGTTCCCCGATGAAACCTGGCTCAGCTTCTAAAGCCATGGATTCAGGCTCTTGTCCTGGCTCTAAACTAATTAGAAACTATTTCTTTGGGAACCACAGTGCACAGCAAAATGGGGACTGGTGGTGTAAGTGGGAGACCAGAGCCTTGGATCAGCGAGATGTAGGCCTGACTAAGGCTGTGGACTTAGGAAGGTTCACTCTCATCAGGCAATTGGGAGGAAGAGGTTTCTGTTTCTCCCAGATCAAGCATAAGAGCTGCCTGAGAAGTTCAGGGAAGTGCGGCTTTTCTCCCAACATACAAACATACTCCCACCTTCACAGACCCTCCCAAGGACAGGCTTCCCAGACACTGATCCCCAGGAGGGGGTGGTTAGCTCACAGGGATGTGCAGGCTCAGATTCAAGGTGACACACACCAGCCACAGAAGCACACCGCCACCCTGCACAGCCTTACCCACAGAGAGGCGGCAAATACAGGAAGAGACCAGACAAGGCATCCCCCACAAGGCCCCTTGAAGCCGCCCACAGAGACTCAGAGGACACAGTCTCCACCAGCCACCTTAGGAGGACTGTCAGGAAGGATGGGGAGAACTGGCTGGATTCTTTCCACAGCTTTCACCCCTCCTCCCAACACGCAGCACCTATCAGCCTGCAGGAGGAGTCCCATTCAGGGAAAGGGGCCTGGCTCATTCCCTGCACTTTGCTCTTCCTCAAAGCTCAGTTCAGTTTCCTCTGTGCTCAGAGGCATGGGATGGGGGAAGGAAAGAGGCAGGAGGGACAGGACTAGGAAGATAGGTGTATGTCTAGGGCTCCTGAGTTCAGCGGAGGTCAAGGGAGACTCTCTGCCACCTGATTTACTGTCCCTGTGGGGCAGCCCAGACAGCAGAAGAAAGGGGCTGGTCCATCCACCACGTGCCAGGATTCCTTAGTCCCCAAGGTACTGGGAATGACTGTAAGGATCTCAGACCAACCTGAGGAACACAGGAGGGAGAGGGAGAGGGTGGAATATGCAAGATTCCCAGAGGAGGAATTTGGAAAGCTGACAATTAGTTGGCCAGCACCAGGACACAAGTGACACTTGTTCATAGTGTCCATACCTCCTTTGGCATGGACCCTCGATTTAGGTCAAATTCCCACCCCTGGAGTATCTTTCTTTCCCCAGAACAGAGTGGGAAAGTGTGTAAGCCGAGGTGTGAAGAGAGGGCAGCTGGAATGGGAGTGGGAAGCCAGTGAGGGGTAAGAAGTGGGAAAGGTGCGCTTTGGGGATGACTTCTGTTGATTCGACACAGAGGAATGGCTGGGGGCTGAGGACTGGCGTCTCTCAGGTCTAAAGTTACCTCCTTCACCTTCTGACCCTTTTAAATGGGGGTCTCGCAAGCAGCATCCCCACCCGGTCCCCCTCTCTCCCGTGGGGAGGGCCAGCTGGCCTCCTTACCGTCTGCGGGGGGCTGCCCACCGTCATCTCCACGTAGTAGCCCTGGCCCGACTTGCCCCTTAGGTTGTCCACCATCTCCACAAAGCTGCCCCTCTGGCTGGGCTCCTCCAGCTCCTCATCGGTGCCCCGGGGCAGCCGGAGCCCCAGGGGGGAGCCCCCTAGTCCGCTCCGCAGAGGCAGCCGAATGCCATGTGGGGTGCAGTGGGTGGGCAGCACTCCCGAGCCCACCCACAGCAGGAGCCAGGGCAGGGCCGGAGCCATGGTGGCCTGGCCTGCAGGCCCGCTGGGCTGTCGCTCCGGCCCACGTCGGTCCCAGCTGCTGCCTACCCCCCAACTCCGGGCGCTGGTAGCGGCGGCCCCTCAGAAAAGTGAGCTCCGAGGCATCCAGACTCCAGAGCCTGCGGGCCCCTCCGCCGGTCCCGGGGTCCCGGCTGCGGCGAGCGCGCGGCAGGAATCCGCAGGAGACGGAGGGAAGGCGGCGAGCCGGCGCCCCGCGCCGCTACATGGAGGCAGCGGCGTCCGGGCTCAGCAGTCACCCGGGCGCGCGCGGCTAGGGCCCCCGGCGGGGCTGGGAGGGGCGGGCATGGCAGGTGGGCGGCGGCGGCTCTCCGCGTCCTCGGGGGGCTCCACGCGGGGAAGGGTCCGGGGGCTCTCGCGGCTGCGTTCGGGGCTCAGGCCGCCCTAACCCGGCTCGCTGCGCCCAGGCAGCCCCGGGGAGGCGCAAAGACTTGTGGCGGCGGCTGTCAAAGCCGAAGGGTTTTGGCTTTTCCCTGGGATCGCTGGGAAGTGTAGTCTTCCCACCGCGGGCAGCGCGGCTTCCGGGCTGGAGAGGGGTCTCGGATGCCCTCTGCTGTGCAGTCCTCCCCGCAGAACCCCGGCCAGGCGAAGGCAGTCAGGGCAAAGAGGGGTAGCCGACTCGTTGTCCTGTCTCTGCTTCATTGAGCATCTATTACCACCCACTCTATGCTAGACACTATGTCAAGCACCAGGGCTACAAAAGCATTCTCAAAACTCATTGCAGTGGGGTGAAACTGACTCGTAGCTGAACCTCCAGTAGAGACTGTAAATTGCACGGGAGGAGATTGCTCATCTTTCCCCCTTGGAGGGGCTGGTGGATTAGAACCAATAGAGGAGACGTGACCTTTGGGTTAGCAGCCTAACTCCCGACCCACTAAGCCACCTCAAACAGTTGTTGTTATGTGCCACCAAGTTGCCTGTGACTCATAGTGGCCCAATGTATAACAGCTTTGAAGCCTGCCCTATTCCGAGCCTTTCTCACTGACTCTGACACACTTACCCACAGTGCCCCAGTTACTGTATCACTCTATCTCATCCGGGTCTTCCTCTCCTGCGCTGTCCCTCCACCCTTCCAAGCATCATGTCCTTCTGTAAGGATCGTCCCTCCTGTCCACATGCCTAAAGTATGTGAGACAGAGCTTAAAATCCTTACCTCCAATCACCCTCTCCAAGACGGACCTATTTGTTTTCTTGGCAGTCCATGGTATGTTCAAGACTCCTCCAACACCACAACTCAAAGGCATTGATTCTTCTGTCATCCTTAGTCATTGTCTAGCTCTCTGATGCATAGCAAGTAATTGCATAGACCATGGCCTAGATCAGGTGCACCTTAGTCTCTAGACTGATACCATTGCTTCTCTATACTCTGGGGAGGTCCCTAACAGCAGATTTTCACAGTGCAATTTGTCCTTTTATTTCCTTATTACTGGTGCTAAGAGTGTTGATTGTGGAGCCGAGAAAGCTGTAATTGTTAACAACCTCAATCTCTTCTTCATCTATCATGGTGCTGCCAATTAGCCCAAGTAGTGAGAATCTTTGTCTTCTTGATGTTAAGCTTCAATTCATATTGAAAACTACAAGCTTTGACCTTCTGCAGCAAGTGTTTCAGGTCCTCCTCAGTTTCAGCAAGCAAGGTTGTGTATAACTCAGGCTGTTGATGAGTCTTCCTCCAATCCTGATGCCACATTCCTCCCCATAAAGCCCAACCTCCCAAACGATCTGTTCTGTGTATACATGGAAAAAGTGAAAGAGAGGATGCATCCCTGACACACTCTGTTCCTAATTTTGAGCCATGCAGTGTTTCCTTGCTCTGTTCTGAGGACTGCTTCCTGGTCTGATTATAGGTTTCGCATGAGCACTATCAAGTGCTCTGGGATTCCCATTTTCCTCAAGGCTGCCACAGTGTCCCTCTTACAAAATAGTATGGTTTGTAAGAGGAGTAGGGATTTAGGCATAGGGATGGGACTGAAGGATCTGGAAAGATTCACAGAGGAGGTAATATTTAAAGTGAGCCTTAAAGAATGAATAGAATTTCTACTAACAGCTATTGGCCATACAAGAACAATGAGAGGGGGTATTCAAGGCAACACAGTCAAAGAGGAAAGTGCAGATGTGGTCTGTTTTAACTTGAGTCTGCAATCTGTGGTTGGTTATGAGTAAGGGTTCCGACTGGTTCATTTTGACTCCACCCCTGCAAAGAATTCAAATTTCCAACCAAGACATGTACTAAATAAGAACCTAAATTTAAAAAGGGATCTATAAGAATCACTTGAGAATCTTGTTAAAATGTAGATTCTGGAGAGAAAAGTAAAATTCTCAGCAGCAGGTTGAACTGGAAAGAACCTTTGGATTCTGTCTAGTGTGAATCTGTTTGAGCTTTCACAGCCCTTTTTACCCTTTACCCAGATGCTATGAATCCCCACACCCCTCCTCAGGTTAAAGACTGTTGCCAGCTTTAAAGTGTTAGCTCTCCAAACAGTATCTGCATATAGTTAATAAGAGTTTAAATACAATCTTAGAGCTCTAATAGCTTAAAGACAAAAGGCCATCCCAGTCACAAAAGGACAAATATTACATGATGCCACTGTTGTAGAATGGGACTGTCCTTGGGGTTGGGGAGAGAATGAGTAAGATGGGTTCAATAATGTATACTGCACTGAAACAGAGGAGGGAGAGAACCGTCTAAAAGAGAGATGTAACTGGGTATTTCTGTCATCACAGGAGACTAGAGCGAGGGCTGCATGGTGGAGGGGACCTGGGGGAGTGTTTGTAAAACAATGAAAGAATCTTTTCTTTTACTTTTCCATAATTTTTGGACTCATGTACTTATAACTTGTTAGTCAAATTTGTGTCTTCTAGGTTGCAACACCCCCATGATACATCTTCAAGGATATGTACATGTACAGCCAAGCACAATCAATAAGAGTGCATCTGAATTCCAAAATCAATCTCCATAATAGTCTACGTGTTTCCTACTGCCAAAGGGGCCCTTTAGAGTAGTGAGAGAAGATCTTCACCCTGAAACCCACAGCGTCCCTTTTCAGCAGGAAGTAGCTAAGAGAATACGCCGTCCCCTTTTCCTTATGACTCAGGGTGAAGTCTCTCTCAGGGAGGAGTGATAGGGAATGGCAAAGGATACACTGACAAAGAAGATTAATCAGAACTGGCTTTGACAAGCACTGTGGCATTTGGACAAGAACAAACTGGGAGGAGGGTAGAGAGAATAGTGCAACAATGAATGAGTGGAAGCCCAAAATCTCTGTAAATGTTTATGAAAATTAATAAAATATAATTATAGGAAAAAAATTAAAAAAAAGGCCATGTATGTCAACATAGTTATCAGTTGTGGAATGCCATTGATAAAATTTAGTAATCATTATCATAAAAATGAAGGGGGAAAATGTCTTAACCAAAATAACAGAAAATCCAGAAACCATGATAGTAAACAAGTTAATGTCCCATTCAATAAAGTCAGGTTTAGGAATGTGAAGGTCATTGTCACAATTCCTATCACATAATTGAAGTAAATTTCCTTCACTCAATAAGATAACAAATAGAATAAGTACTGTAAGTATTGGAAGGCAAGTAAATAATAATTTGCAGTCTTATAATGTAAACTATAAAATCTGAACAAGAACATAATTAGCCATAAGTTACAAACAAAAAAAAATAATAGATCCATGTATGTATGTAAATTTTATTATGTAGTAAGAGTGGCTCAATATGGCACTCAAAGTTGTGCCTTAGATGCCATTGAGTCATTCTGACTTACAGTAACCCTATTACAATAGAACAAACTATGGCTAATATTAAAAAGAACGGGAATTCCAGAACACTTAATTATGCTTATGTGAAATCTATACCTAGACCAAGAAGAAGCTGTTGTCCAAACAGAGCAAGGGAACACTGCATGGTATCAAATCAAGAAAGGAGATTGCCCATCCTTCTTCCATGGAGCAGCTGATAGATTCAACTGAGTGTTTTAGGATTGCAGGGCAGCTTCTCGCCACTAGGTCACTAAGGCTTACTATAGTATGTAGAGGTCTTATACAAATAAAATAAAAACTAAACATGAAAAAACATGAACAAAGTATATGAACAGGTCAGTTTTGAAGAAATTAAAATGACCAATAAACTTATCTCTTAAAAGGGCAATTTCATTAATATTGAGAATGCAAATTGAAACAATATTAGGTACCTTTTTTTTTCTTTTTTGCATCTCAGATTGGTAAAGTGGAAAAGATAGTAATGTCTGGTGTTAGAGAATATATTAGTGGAACTGAAAATTGTTCAACTTTGGGGAGGTAACTGGAGAAGGTTGGTGCCTTTGAAATGTGGTGGTGGAGAAAAAAATTGAACATACCTTGGACTGCCCAATATACAGACAAGTCTGTCTTAGAGAAAGTACAACCAGGGTGCTTTGTAGAGGCAAAGATGCTGAAACTTTGTCTCACATACTTTTGACATGTTGTCAGGAGGGGCCAGTCCTTGGAAAAACACACCCTACTGGAAAAGGTGAGGGTCAGAGAAAGAACGAAAGACTCTTAATAAAATGGATTGACACTGACTGGAAGATATCGGAAATGTCTGGATGGCGCAAGACAGATTAAGGTTCAGATTCCTTGTTCATAGGGTCGCTGTAAGTCATAGTCAACTTGAAGGCAAGTAATGACAACAATAACATTAACATGAGAAAAAAGGCCAACTCTTTGAGCAATGTCACTTCTAGATGTGATCCAACAAAGGCATTCAGTGCTGTGAATCATAATAAATTTGAATTCCAGAATACTCGTAATTGTGCTCACAGAAACTAGAAGGAGCAGCAGTCATTCCAACAGAACAAGGACATATCGCGTGGTTTAAAATCAGAGTTGTATCCTTTTACCATAGATATTTAATCTGTATGCTAGACAAGTAATACAAGAAGCAGACCTGTGTGAAGAAGAATTAAACATCAAGATTGGAGGAAGACTCAGTAATGAGCTATTATATGCACTTGATACAACTTGTGTGCTGAAAATGAAGAAGGCTCGGAGCATTTACTGATGAAGATCATAGACTACATGCTCCCTTATGGATTACACCTTAACATAAAGTAAACACAATCCTCATAACTGGAGCAATGGATAAAATGATAACTGGAGAAAATATTGAAATGATCAAAGATTTCATTTCACTTGGCTCCACAATAATTACCTATGAGAGCAGCATCAAGAAATCAAGACATTGCATTGGACAAACCTGCAGCAGAGGACCTCTTTAAAGAGTAAAGATGCATCTAACATAGCCATGGTATTGTCAGTGGTATTCAAAGACACATTTAAAAGTTGGGCAGTAAAGCAGAAAGATTTAAAAAGAATGGATGCCTATGAATTATAATCTTTATGAAAAATATTGAATACACTATAGACTATTGTTATTCTTCTGG